CTGGTAAGGGGAATAATAACGATGCATGTGAACAGAGTTTCATTGTTTGGAACAAAAGCACATTCATTAAACCAAATGGGATTTTCTCATAAGGGAGACAGTGGAGAAGACAGGGGAAGCCGAAAACAAATAAAAGCAACTAAAAAAGCAAGTGATGATGTCATGATGATGTCATGATGATATCATACATCAAGATTGTATGGGTGGGGAGGGGGATACGTACTTTCAGCAGCTAGCAGTCCTAGAAACCACACGGCAGAAGAAAAAAACAACACCAAAGAAAGAGAGGCTGAGATTAGAGCAGGTTTACAGCCACTACGGACGTAGAGTTTAACACCTCACAAGACGAACGACAAAAAAAGAGGGAAGAGAAGACAGGCCCTGGTCAGACCTAGTTTTAACACAAGTCCTGAGTGATCTAATCACAAGTGGATCGCACGTTGTCTGCGTCCTGAGATCCAATCACCCGGACCACATACAGAGGTGATCTGGGACGCAGGAGAACACTGTGTGAACTTAATGCATCCTGTGCCACATATGAAGGACCACCTACTCAGGACGTTCTTTGACCTGCTCACTATGAATCAACATATTTTTACTTTATCTCAATTTAATGCATTGATTTGTTTGTGGCCACCCAGAGATTCTAATATCAACCCTGACCAACATGGAAGGATTTATATTTTATTCAAATCTTTCTGGTTCTCTCCTCATCAGACGAGCTCAACGCTGTTCACTTGTGATTGGATCTATCGGGACGGATGTTAATACCAGCTCTTAGCAGAGCAAGGAGGCGTGAGGGCAGGGAGGGAGTAAAAAGGAGGCAGAGGGGAAAAGAGGAAAGAGCAGCAACAGAGATAGAAAAATCAGCAAAAGCAGACGAGTGTCTGAATATTCTTCCAAGCTGCTGCAAGCATCTACTACTCTACACACAAGTCAGTGACCGACAGCATGTCTGGTGCCCAACTGCAAAAATAAAGACTGGGAAGCATGACTGAAAGATACTGCCAGCCTCAGCAGAAACAACAAACAGAGAATTATCTGGCTGCAGCGGCCGCATATAAAACTGAGAGTAAAATATGTAACGCTCTGATTCATTAAGTGATGATGTAACCCGGTGCTCATTTTCTGCTGTTTAAGTAAAGGACCTGAGAGGTTTTTTTATGCTGATCTCTACAGGCAGGTACAGCCAGCAGTCCTCTTATCAAAAGGAAGTGAAAGTCCATGTCTTAGACAGGGAAGTGAAGCTGTTGGGCAACAACTGTCTTTTTTTAAACAGAGGAAGTTCTGCACAGACATCTGGAGATCACAGTGAGAAGCAAGAATAGAAACTGGGTGAGAAAGTGAATGTGCTGATTGTGTTCTCTGGTGCAGATACATCACCTCACATCTGCCCTCCAATGACACATAAAACTCCTAGTAATAATTCATTGTCCTCTTTCTCAGCCCTACAATAGGATAGAGCTCTGTGTTGTGATTTACCTGAGGAGGTGGGGTCATCTGAGAAGTCATGTAGCTCCTCTGGGGGGTCTCCATAGAAGGAATTAAACTTGTGGCTGGAAACAGCAGCCAGGACTGCACCCTGGGATACAGATAATACAGCTATTACACCATGTACATGCGGTGGTCTGTATTTGCATGAGGGTTTAATGTCAGCTGAGAATCTTACAAAACATATGACAGGAAATTATAATGGGTCAGTGATTATAACCAGCTGCACGTTGTGGGGGAGGTGGCACTTCCTCTAATCTCTGATTTTAATCACACTCAATCGACTCTAGCTTTAACAACGACACGGTGCTGACCTTCAGCTTCCTCCTAGAGTTGAACTTCCTCAGCTGCTCCACCGTTTCAGGCAGGTGGATCTTGTAGGCATACCTGTCCCTCTCCTACAACACACACAAATATACGCACGTAAGCACTACACTTCACACACTTATTAGAGCAGTCACAGAATGGATGTGAAAGCAGTTCCAAGCAGAAGGAAGTGGTCTTGAATAAGCTAAAGCATTTTCAGTTGCTAATACTATTTTACTAAAACAACAAATATCCATATCACACTAATTGTCTTGATTTTAATTATTACGCAAGAGAAGGTCACAGAAAGAGGTGGAAGTTCAAGGGCAATAATACATTCAGCAACATCTAATGTCAGAGCAAATCTTGCCTTCAGCCAGGGGTGGTTGAGGGCCTCGTAAACTGTGATTCTCTCGGCAGGGTCCAGCATCAGCATGCGTCTCACCAGGTCTTTGGCACTCTCTGAGATGTGGGCCCATTGGCGGGGGTTCATCTGGACAAAAACAGTGGACAGTGGGTGAGTCCAGGTGAAGGACGTAAGGGAAAAGGAAATCAAATAGTTTGTGCGCTCCATAAATCAACATACTTGAAGTACGTTGAACCGAGTTGCAGTTGTGGCAGAGCTTATTACTTAAGATTTTACTCGAAAATATAAAACCTGTCAATCTAGCAGCAGATGTTTAGCAGCAGCAGTGTGATGGACGATACCACTGTGTTATCCATCAAGCTGCCTGCAGTGACTGCGTCTGCCACAGATTAGTGCACCAAGCAAAATTCATCCTCTCAGCTGAAAACAAAACATTTATCAGACCTGTATCTCAGCGTCTTCTGCTTATACTTTCAATTTCTTCAGCACCTCATGCTGACTTTTTTTTGGCAAGTGGTGTAACAGCCAAATGCATGATATATTTTTTGCACAAAAAGCTTAGAGACAAAGAACCGTCGCCAATGCTATGATTTGACCGCTGACACCTTCACAGAAGGACTGTGAAGTAGCATAGTGCACACAATGTTCAGTGAGTGCAACCTTGTATTTGTCGCACACTGAAGTATAGCGACAAAGAGGACCTTACTAAAAGAAATCAGTTATTGTCTTACCTTGTATTTGCCTTTAATGATGGCTTCGAACAAGCGCTCCTTGGTGCCGTAGAAAGGAAGGCAGCCAGACAGGAGGATGAAGAGGATGACCCCACATCCCCACACATCCACCGGTTTGCCATATGGCTCCCTCTTCACCACCTCTGGGGCCATGAAGTGGGGAGTACCAACTCGGCCTGAAAAGAGCAGCCAGTTTAAGTAATTCACTATTTGGAGATATGCTGTTGAGGAAAAAATGGAGATTGAGATGTTGGGGAAATGTCAAAATGAACACGACAACTTGAATTTAGGTGGACTGTTGGGCCTTGGTAGAGGTGTGAGCTCTACTGACTGCTATTCTAGTTGCCTTATTTATATAAGCGTGCACAGCATGCACAAGTGTAGTGGGAAGGCATGCACGGGTGTTTGTGACTGTACCTCCAGCTACTAATCCAGACTCTCCCAGCTGTATTGCCACTCCAAACCCTCCAAGCTTGACTGGAGCAGAGTTCTCCTTTGAGGCCAACAGCACACAGTGAGGCTGCAGAGGAAGATGACACAGGTTCAACAATAAGTTTATGATCCAAATATGTATTTTACAATAGCTTAAAACAGAGACAACCAATGTAGGACGTAACATCCCCTTAAAGTGCACACCAATCTACCAGATAACAGCTGATGAGATGATGACCTATTCTTTTTACTGGCAGGCAGAAAGACATTTCTTTGTAACCCAGTATATGCGATAACCACACTTTCCCAATGACAAGACATGTAACCACAAATATAAACACTGAGTTTTTTGAAAGCTCGAGATGCATTTCTCACAGCTTGTGTGCAAGGTTTTAAATTAAAAACATTGCATTAATTCACATGAAAGTTGCTTAGGCGATAGATTATCTCATTTTAAAACATGGAGAAAAGACACTTTAACAGAAGACAGATGAGAGGGAGAGAGGGTGGGAACAAGAGTAAATGACGACAACCAGCACCTAATTTCACGTACTGAACTACTGCACAAGGCAAAAGTTAGTTCCTGTCTCCCTTTCCTGTGTTTTGGAATTTGTGGTTGTGTTTGCATGATAGTCTGTAAAGCATTGTTTTCTCACTGACACTGAATCTACATTTTAGGGGGAGGCAGGTCATGAAAAGATCTGCTGTGTTCCACTGCAGCTTAAAGCCCATTTTACAAGACAGCAAAGTGTGCTGACTTAAAAACAGGCAGCCACACTCACCAGCAGATTAATACAAATATTTAATCAATCTTTATTATTAAATTACTGTCTCAGTTTATTCTCTTGATTTATACTGTGGTGTTATTATAAGCTGACAACAGGCTTTTCCTTTGACAGGACCAGTTAGTGTGTGAAAAAAGAAGCTTTTGGGGATCAATACTTGGGAAGACAGAGCACACACTGCATTCATTCCTGGAGAGCTCAACAAGTTCATGAGTAAATCTATGGTCCATATATATTTATATATATATTTCAATAGGATAAAATAGAGACAACCAATGTAGGATGTCACATCCCCTTAAATTAAACTGTGAGAGGCACTGCACAAAATCTAGCAGGCAACAGCTAACGTGGTCATGACTTATTCTTTTTCCTGTTAGACAGAAAGACATTTCTTTGCAGCTTACAGCAGCTGTGCAGAGCAATGCGTTGCACTTTCCTGTGCAAAAGTGCAAGACCCAGTATGTTCGATTGCCCATAACCACGCTTTCACAGTGACCAGACATGTTACATAAATATAACCACATGTTTTTATGACAGAAAGAAAACAGTTGTTTCTCATGGACCTAGTCCTTGCTTAATAAACACTGAGCTTTTTGAAAGCTCGAGATGCATCTCTCACAGCTTGTGTGCAAGGTTTTAAATTACAAACCATTGCATTAATTCACATGAAAGTTGCTTAGGCGACAGATTATCTTATTTTAAAACATGGAGAAAAGACACTTTAACAGAAGACAGATGAGAGGGAGAGAGGGTGAGTGAGAACAAGAGTAAATGACGACAACCAGCACCTAATTTCACATACTGAACTACTGCACAAGGCAAAACCTCGTTCCTGTCTCAGTTTCCTATGTTTTTAATTTGTGGTTGTATTTGCATGATAGTCTGTAAAGCACGGTTTTCACACTGACACTGAATCTACATTTTAGGGGGAGGCAGGTCATGAAAAGATCTGCTGTGTTCCACTGCAGCTTAAAGCCCATTTTACAAGACAGCAAAGTGTGCTGACTTAAAAACAGGCAGCCACACTCACCAGCAGATTAATACAATTATTTAATCAATCTTTATTATTAAATTACTGTCTCAGTTTATTCTCTTGATTTATACTGTGGTGTTATTATAAGCTGACAACAGGCTTTTACTTTGACAGGACCAGTAAGTGTGTGAAAAAAGAAGCTTTTGGGGATCAATACTTGGAAGACAGAGCACACACTGCATTCATTCCTGGAGAGCTCAACAAGTTCAAGAGTAAATTTATGGTCCATACATATTTATATATATTTCAATAGGTTAAAGGAGGGACCGTCCCAGAAGGCCTTAAATCAAATTCACATATCAAACAGTAAGAGGCACTTCACATACTGGATTCATCCCTGACTTGATTGATGTCACTGATCTGTGCACGCCATATTAAAAACACCCTGCCCGCCTGCCTCTGAGAAATAAATGTAGAAGTCCTGCAGATTCAAGTCATTTTAAAAAGAAAAGGTGCAAGGCAGTGCTGCATATGCTGATTAACAGGGTGGATATGCTGAGGAAATGGGTGGATATGGGATGTGGTGGTGGTCTCACTTCCTGTCATCACATTTTTATGTTTCTCTTAATGGGGAAATGGAGGGGGGTGGGGGGTGTTGGCTGACGCAGAGCAAGACGACTGGCAGACTAAACAGTCATATATGCAGGAGAAAAGGAGAGAATAAAGCTTTTCCGTGCAGAGAGGACAATGACAAATACAGAAAAAGAGTGAGAGCTGAGAGGAGGACGAGGAGGAGCAGATGCTGTCAGAAAGGATATGAAAAAAACAGGCATCTGCAAGATTTATGACTCATTCAGAGAAAGGTGAAGATAAAAGTGCTGAGACAAGGACTGTAGTTTTATCACTTATTTATCTCCAGTGTTATTTAACAGGTCACTTTTTTAAAACGAATTTCTCGCAGCTTTTGAAGTTTGATGGAGGAAAACGCACACTGGACGACCTCCCTGCACATTCACACACGTTCAAGCTGCAGCTGTGCTGAATCTCCAACGGAGCAGAGATTGCTGGTGAGTGCTCTGGGTTAATCCAAACATCTGTTAGTAGCAGTCAGAAAGTTAGGGGTGAGTGGTCGTGTACGAGTGGGTTTGTGCTCGGAATTCATGTGTTAAATATGCAAGAAACTTTCAGTTAGTCATGAATCCAGCTCTCACCCGAGTCGATGAACAACATGTTGTTAAGTGTGAAATGTGTTTGTTTTTTAGAAATGTTATTTAATTAACTTCATCTCAACCTCCTCATTTTATGGAGCTGTACATTTTTAATCATATTGCATTAGTTTGTCAAATGGTTATTTTACACATAGTAAGTTGCTTTGTGTATGTTTGACCTTTAAAACTAAAACCCATATATTAGTCAGCTTCCTATGAATGACTCATAAAGGGCCGTAAGCTTTGTTTTAGTTATGGTATTTATGGTCATGTAAAGGGCATTTATTTTTGATAATAAAGACATAATATTACCATTTTTAAAAGAATAAAGTGAAATATTGAGATAAAACTAATATTACGAGAAAAGAATATTAGAAGAATTAAGTCTTAAATTTAGTGACTATCGGAGGAACATCTTGTTGTGGAGAATCTTGTTATATTATAGGTTTAAGGAATAATGAAATAGTTAAATCTTTCTTCATATCAGCACCACATTATCATTTTGAAGGACTTGTAAGATTGTGTAAGAAACTGTGTCTTCTCTGAAGAAAGAACCAAACAGACTTGGAAAGTAAAGTGTTTGGTACAGGTTGACTGTGAGGTTAGATCTGTGTGATATGAGGTTTCTTAAGAAATACTTGGTGATCATTTTGGATCTGTGGGTTGTCCTTGTGATTATTTTTCTTTTTTATTTCTTGGGACTTCTTCCTCATTAAATTATAATTTTATCCTCATAATCAATCAAATTTTATAATACAATATAATTATCTTATAATATTGCAACTTTTAAATGTATTTCTATTCTTACTATTTGTTCGTTGACAATGAACTGACATTGTTTTTTTCCTTCTTTCTCAGAGCCTGACTGAAAACCCTGGAATTGTCACTCCTCAGCCACAATGACCTCATTTGCCCCCGTTTCTTCTTTCCCCTTCACTCTTTCAGCTTCTGCATCATCCAACACCTCTCTGTCTACCTTCTCTTCATCCCTCCCTCTTTCAATGTCATCTCTTCCCCCTTCCTTCTCTCCTTTCTCCACCATTTCTGTGGTCCCCCCAAAACCGACTACTTGTCAACTTGATGAAACTGCCCTCCGTTTGCCGCTGGTAATCTTCTACTCGCTCTTCTTTGTCTTTGGTATCGTGGGTAACCTCTTTGCACTGTGGGTTTTCCTTTTCTTGCACTCGAGCCGCAATTCTGTGAGAGTATTCCTCATCAACTGTGCGGTGGCTGATCTGGTCCTGTTGGCGTGTCTGCCCTTCAGGGTCTTTTACCATGTCAACGGAAACAAGTGGGTTCTGGGAAAAGTGGCGTGCAAGCTGGTGGGGACTCTATTTTATATGAACATGTACATCAGTATCATGTTACTGGGCCTCATCGGCTTGGACAGATACTTGAGGCTGAAGGGGAAAGGTAGAGCGCGGAGAGGCATGTGGGGACGTAGCCGGTCATCGAGCTGGGTGGCATGTGGGGTTCTGTGGGGTCTGTCACTGATGGGACTGGTGTCCATGATTGTCACAGCAGATGACAAAGAGGACACCTACCAGTGCTTCCAGTACAAGCAGCGACACACATCCAGAGGGAAGGCCTACTTCAACGCAGTGCTGGTGGTGCTGTTCTGGCTCGTCTTCATCATGCTCGTGGTCTCCTATGCAAAGATCGCCTCTCAGTTGCTGAGGGTGTCTCGGGACAAACCGGACCTTCCCAACGCGCAGAAATATGAACGCACTGCCAAGAAATCTTTCTTCGTTCTCTTTCTGTTCACCGTGTGTTTCGGACCCTACCACGCCTTTCGGCCCATCTACATCCTCTCGCAGCTAAGCGGAGAGGTCTCGTGCGACTACTTGCAGCTGATGGACCACACCAATGAGGTGATGCTGTTATTCTCTGCCTTCAATAGTTGTTTGGATCCGGTCATGTACTTTCTGTTATCTGGCTCGGTGCGCAAAATCACACTGCAGGCGCTTGGGCATCGATTTGGAAACAGGCTCTTCCTCCATGATGCAACGTCCAACAGCTCGACAACGGAGTTCAGACGGCCGAGTGTGCCTATGGGGTTACCAAAACCTGAACTAAACATCCCTTCCACCTCACCGAGAGCCAGCATCTGTGTCAACAACTCCACCTTCTACCACACAGGAGAGACTATGCTTCCACCTACTGGCCAAAACTGATCACAAGTTTGAACAGCAGAGAAATAAACACCTTATTTTTCTGACATTGGTTGGACTGAAAAAATTAGCAAAGCATAAAGACTGAGAAATTAAATTCTGCTTTAACGCCTGAAAGAGACTGACAATACTCTATGAGTAGAGGCACTGCAGTGAACACTTTAACCAAAGTTTTTCCTAGTAATGCATGTTATGTTTATTTTCTATCAAGCAATGATGTAATGTCTCTAAAAATATAAATATGTATAATTATAATAATGGATTTAGTATACCTGGAGACAAATGTTAAAGCAAACACTTCTCAAATGCTTTCTTGTTGAAAAAATAAAATGTATTTGTGGTGATAATATAATCCTGTTTATTTGAAAGTAACGGACCTAAATTCAGACTTAACAATGGGGTGTTTTCTTCCTCACACAAAGGCAGTAGCTGTTTAAATACCTTACACACAAAACAAAGAAATGAGTGACAGATTCAGTCAACCATTGTACAGCTGTCAATTTAACTGTTTGACACTTGGAGATGGGTGTTAAAAACAAACGGCAGCACTAATGAGTGACCCTCCATTTCACCCCGGTTTGACCTACAAGCACAGATATTCACTGCAAACTAGGCTGCGGTGATCCCTTTGTGGAATGTGTGATCAAACGGCTGGTGTGTGGTTTAAGGGGCGGGGCAGGGCTGCTCCATCTGCTCTGTTAGTGTTTGCTGCTTGTGTTAGATGGATTATCCTGCAGGAATCAGTTGGTTGATGCTAATCTGGCTATAAGAGCACCGAACAAATCCAGACTGGCTGTTTGTCATGCAACCTCAGGTCCGCAGACTTCCAGGTGCTCATTTCAAAACCCACATTAGATCAGAGAGGAAGAAAGCAGCAAATGTCAGTGGGAGTGTTTTCTGATGAACACTGAAATGTTTTTGACCATCATCTCCCCACAGACACTAGATAACATCTCAGAATAGATAATGATAGGCTGTGGTATAAAGCATGTTTATCATGCTCTATATGAAAAGGTTTCACATCTCCCACCCTTTACTGAAAGCAGCATCAGTGTTTACGCCCTGTCCACGCTAATATGGATATTTTGCATAACATTTGTGCTTGTGTGCCACATGCAAACTGCTTATTAAGTCACTCAAATGGAGATTTTTCACCATACAAACAGCAGATTTTATAAAACTCTGGACTATGTATGCATGTTTGAATGTTTGCATTCCTTTTTTGTTATCGTCTAGATGGTCAAATGAAGGTCTTGAGGGGGAAAATTCAATGCAGGATTTTTAAAAATATATATACAAAGCCTTAGTCTGGGACACGTGGTAAAGATCTCACCTTTACGTCACGATGAATCACATTGTTGTCGTGGCAGTATCGAAGTGCCTCCAAAATCTGCCTCATGTAGTGGCTGCATCGACAGGAAGCAGAAACAAACAGGGAGATCATTGACCGTGTCGACAGATTGTTTATTTCAAACTATCAATATTTTAAATAGTCCCAGATAGTGTGTCCTACCTGGCCACTGCTTCGCTGTACACAAACCCGGCATCTGCTCTCTTGACAATTTCAAAGCACAGGTCGGCTCCATCCATACTAAGATATTGTGAGAGAAAGGAAAGTTTCTCTGAATTATAGACAGTAAAAACAAAAGCAGATAAACTGAAAATAGTGTTTAAACCAGAGTGCATAAAACAACATCCATTAGGGAGCGATTTTATGACCTGCTGTCACTTGCATGTACACAGCACCACTATATTTTCATTATAGCAGTTTTCAGCCGGTGCAGTCTCCAGGGAATATATCAAGTCCACACAGAGGAAACACATTAACCAGAAAAGTTGACTAAGAAAATTAGATTTACTGCAAATGTCTGGGGAGAAGTCGAGAGCTGTTCCTTGACAATGTCTCCTGTGGATTTTATATTAAACTTTGATGCTTTAGATTTCAGCATATTATTTCTGTCTTTACAGTGCAATTAACTACACTGCAACCTTAAAAAGTCGGACTTATTCAGTACAATTCAGTTCAGAAATATTTTATTAATTCCACACAGAAATTAGGTTTCGTTAGTCGCTTCAGTCTAAAAAAATATACAGACCAACTGTTGAGCTGAATCCCAGAAATAGGATCTCAAAGAACTACACTTCCCAGAGTGCACCAGCAGCAGCAAACCTGCTCAATCATTGTCAGTGATTTGGAGCACCTGAGAAGGAATGGAGGTTCTCAGTCATTCAGACAAACAAACAGAGAGAAGAAGCTCCAAGTCCACTCACAGGTTCAGTCCAAAGACGCCGATGTTTGGTGAAATGTTTTATTTACTTTCATGGTGTTTGCAATGCTGTTTAATATGTTCGAGTTTATGTTTAACTGCTGTGGTTAAGGAACACATTGCAGCATTGACTTCATTGATTTTGTGTTGAATGAGTTTGCGCTAAGAAATATTTCATTTTGAGTTTGAAAAATTAAT